CGATGGCATCAGCAATATGCAGCTTGTGACAGGGAGGCTTGCTGTCTGCGTGTGGCTGGCTTGCCCCCTTCCCCTTTCTCCGGGCAGGAGCGGTTTCTTTCTTTTCACACAACACCAAGCTTCTGATTCAGACCAAGGAAAATGTTGCACCCCCGGGCTTTCGCAACATACGCCAGAGATCTGTTTCCCTTTCTATGTACAATACATTAGAAGGGTTAATAAAGGAAGCCAACTATTTTAGTTCTTTGAAAGAAGGAGATAAAATGACGATTCTCTGACTAGCTGACAGACCTCCTTTGCTTACAGGACACGTGCGATTGCTCCCAACTTAAACAGAATAAGAACTTCCAGAGGGCTATCGGTGGTCGGCAAACTCATTAGTCAACAGAGCCAAATATCAACAGTGCAACGATTGAAATTTCTTTTGAGAGCCAAATTTTTTAAACTTAAACTATATAGGTAGGTACATTGTTATTAACTTAATTAGGGTACTCCTAAGGCGTAGGAAGAGCCACACTCAAGGGGCCAAAGAGCCACATGTGGCTCGCGAGCCGCAGTTTGCCAACCACTGGAAGCCACAGGTCAAAGGTCAGTTGCTAAGTTAATGCAACAGTACCTAACACACCCAAACACAAGAGCTCATCCTCCAGAATCACAATGGGTTGAAATGCCTGTGTTGATTAAGACACATTCTACTGGTTTGTAATCACATAGGAATCTCTTAAAATAATAGAAACCCGAACTACATTTTCCGCATACTTGGGAGTTGTTTTTAGAACTTACTGATAATGAATTAACTTGAAATAATTGTGTTGATTTGATACCAGAATGCCACCAGAACAGTTAGATTCAATTAGCTTAAACTCAACATCTTCATTTGTTAATATTTGTAGCATTTAATGAAATAAGAATTTGATTATTTCCATTTTAATGCAAATCAAGCAATAGAGAGAGAAGGGGGCTACCAGCTTAATTTTGTAGACGAGTGTATAATAAAAACACAAAGCCTTACATTTTCAGAAATTCTAATAACAGAGTAGGTGACAGGCTGCAATAACAACACAAGAGAAAATTGTGTTGGTACTGTTCTGGTAATACTTGCTTATCAAGTTGATTAATTAGTTTTGATGTTAATCTCTTTTGTTAAACATCTTTGCTCTGCAGATATTGCATCGGTAACTATGCTTTTCTTGTTTAGTGCAATGGCTAAAACGGGGGTGGGGGAGGTGTTATGAGTCACAGTCAGGGTAATGGGGGCATAAACCTAGAAATCATGCCTTGGACCTCACACCATTATTCCATCAACTACTTTATTGATGTCTAATGGGACTCACCAAGGAATTCTTTTAATTATTTGGAATCTGTAAAAATTAATATATATTTTTTCTTTCCTTCCTGAACTGAACTGTGAGAAAATCTAAGGAAATAATAACCATAGAAAAATTTGATTTAGCCAGTGTTTCTGACACATTATGTCAGTATATTATTTGTCAGTAAAATATTTTAGCAAAACGATTAGACATTTCAGGGACATTAACCCATCCCTTATTTAGCAGAACATAGGCCCCAGAGGTTGACTGAAGTTTTTCATATTCCTGGGCTAGATCACTGGGTACAAGATAACAAAAGTCTGATTTTTTTCCTTGCAGCATCTAGAGAAAGAACTCCAAATAGATGTTGAAACAATGTGATACCTTAAATCAGCGGTTCTCAACCTGTGGGTCGCGACCCCTTTGGTGGTCGAACGACCCTTTCACAGGGGTCGCCTAAGATCATCTTGCATATCAGATATTTACATTACAATTCATAACAGTAGCAACATTACAGTTATGAAGTAGCAACGAAAATAATTCTATGGTTGGGTCACAACATGAGGAACTGTATTTAAAGGGCCAGAAGGTTGAGAACCGCTGCCTTAAATACTCCAGGGAGTTTCTGAACTCCTCATTTCTGTGGGCAAATGGCTGTTCGCCACTTCTTCCGCTCGGCTTTCTGCTGTGAGAGCAGGTTGTGTGCGAGCTCGCCTAATTGCTACAATTGGCAAAATTAAATGGCTCATCGTGTTTTTATACAATTCCTCCCACATTCCGCAGAGTTTTGCTTTTGACTGAGTAATTATACTGTGGAGGCTGTTGACACAGACACATATTGACACAGCATCTGGACAAGACCTCTGTCCATGGACAGTCTGCCGTGGACAGTCCTGAGTGAGGGAGAAGGTGCAGCACGACTGTCATTCCACAGCCTGATCCAGGTAAGGGCCAGAGATTTGGAAATGGGCGTGAGTGGTAGAGGGAGGTGGCCTGTCCTTAGCCATTTTGAAATGCTCCAGCTTCAGATGGGGGGGGGGGGGGGGGTGTTATGAGTCACAAGCTGGCTAAAGCAATCATTTTGATTGTTGTCAAAGTGACACTGGATTCCTGAAGATAAATGAACATGAGTTCATCTGCATCCATCACTGAAATGATAGAATCAGCCACGTCAGGCCTGCTGTGTTTTCATCATGCACTTCAGCCACGCTCTGAGCTATATTTCTGAGAGGCGGTCTGAGCTATTTTTAAAAAGGCTTTAAGGAACTCTCCTCAGAGAAGCAGGCATCTCATCCAAGCTTTATATAGAAACGGTAATGGCTAATGGCAAAGACGTGTGAGAATGCAGGGGAGCGCATATTTAGTCTAGAAAATGGTTCATTAGAAAAAAGTATCTCTGGATTTTTGTCTAAACATTGTGTCAGAATTTCCTTCCGCTCAATGGCATTTGGTGCATTTAAAGGCAAATGTGTCACCTCACACAACCCTGGTAAGGACACCAGAGGTTTTCTTTGCTCAATTCAATCAGTTCAGAAAAAGAAACTTTGAAATGACTCAAAACGATTCTTTTCAGCTTCTTAAAGGATGAGATCCTTAAGAAGTGATAAAGCTCATTCAAGCTAAAAGTGCTAGATTGTATCTAGGTCCTTCTAACTGAAGTTCATAGGTGTGTTGCTATCTTATAGACAGGCACTGCAAGCTTGAGTTGATGCTGAAAAATGAAGAGGAAGAAGTTTTATTTATCTAAAAGGTCATGTGTGAGTAACATACCAATTTATATGCATAAAAAGGGAGCGTATACTTTATCTCTTTCATCTGTTACTCTATTGTGTGTGTGTGTGTATGATTTATAACATACACACACATATCATTGAGATGTCAATTTTTCCCATTTACTTTTACTTTTAAGTTCTCATTGCTATCACTTCATTCGTTCATAGATCAAAATAAAGTGGGCATTTAGAAAATAAGCATTTATCTTCAGGTTACCTTTATATATTTCGCTAGTATTTGAACTGCATATTTTTGCTATGTCAGTAAGAATGTCAGTAAGAATTTATTTCATTTGTTGAGGTCACCGCATTATCTGATTGTCTGCAAAGTCAATATTACTGGACTAGACAGAACACGGTTAAGTAGGACAAAGCAAATGTATGAAGAGAATTTAAAGGACATCGTCATTTTGGGGGACCAAACTTTGACTTAGGTAAAAAAATTATTTTCTTCCACACAAGTACTTGAAGTCTGTGTGGTCAAGATATATACGTTTTTTAATATTAACTATGGTTTTATTTTAAAATGCTACTTTGAAAGTTCTTTAATCTTAATTACGGTTTCATTTTAAAATGCTACTTTGAAGGTGAAAACATTTATAATATTTTCTTTTAGAAAATTGTATGGTCCTATGCAAAAAGTGGGTACTGAGAGCAGACCCCTCCTCTTCAAGAAATCCAATAAGCTCCTGCACAGGATGTTGGAGCCCACAGAGAAAAAGTCCAGCATTTCCAGTTTGTATGCTAACCATGGCTTCTTCCTTGTGATTCCTCACTTACTCTCTGTGGAGGGTTTAATGGCAGATTGAAAACGAAATCTTAGGAAGAACTAAAATATAAACACAAATATCAAACTTTGTTCCTTGGTACATTGATAATGTCTCTTTAACTCCTAACACTTTACACTCTCTGTTATCCGTGTGTCTAGAAACTAATGAGTTGTCATCACCACACAGTCCAATGGCTGTGCTTTCTAAGTCATGGAAGATTCATGATTTACCTTGGGAGTAGATTTTTGTTGTTGTTATAATCTTGAGAAAAATTGTAATTTATTACATGTAAGAGATGTCATTTCCTTAACAAGAATTTTTTTGACTAAAACATCATAATCTTCAAGTATGTTGGATAACAGAGTATTTACAGTATTTGGGAAATTATTGAAACATTCAAACTTCTTACACCCTCCTGACTACATTCTCACCTCCAAGACAAAGCACAGTACATCATCTTTTTAAAAATTCACATAGCACTCATTTTGACTCTTAACATGTTAAATGGGGGATACAGTTGAGAAATAATGTAAGACTTACATGTTTGAAGAGTGATAGAGCCTGTGGCATTTGTGTTGATTAACACTATTGTACTGTTATCTGTTATTTGCTCATGGAATCAAAGGTATAGTTCAACTGAGCAATTCAGTTTCCAAAGATCATCAATTAAAAGGTGTCTTGGAAACAATAAAGCTAATAACTCACGGTTCTGCATGAAAGTGGAGAATTTGTCAATATAATCATTTTTTCCTTCTACAGTGGGGGTAGAATGTTTTCACCAATTGCTGACAAGAGGGGTATCTTCCTGGGCCTTTACTGGTGACTAGGCAATCTTTTCACCTCCAATCAAAAGATCATTGTTTTTTTTAGTGAAAATCTTGCTTGGAGGATCAAATCATAGCAGAATAGGAAAGTATGCCTGCTGATAAAAATCGTCTACTTTTAAACATTGCTTTAGGGCTTGTACCAAAAGAAGCCCCATGTTGAGTGCTCTATCATTTCCTGTGGATGTCATCATGGGGTCAGCAGTCTCTGTATGGCACACCCATTACAGGGGGTGGCTATAGACCTTGACTATTTTAAATTAATTGGACAGTCCCAATAACTGGATAATGAAGTTAAAGTGACTGTTTTTCTTTTTTAGAGACTTGACTAATATGTCAGTTGGGTTGATATAAACTAGGGAAGGAAATTTAAGACATCTTCCACTGTGGTCAAGTTTGTCATAATGGATGGATGAAAGTAACCATTTACATCTTTTATTTCCTGGAAAACAATGGTCAGTCTTGACAAGCCCTTTCTAGTTAAGCTGATTCTCTCATCACCTGATATCCTGACAGCACCCCTGGCCAGGTTCCTGGGGACACAGACATGGCACAGTCGGGTGATTATGCAAAAGACAAGTGTTCTCAATCTGCCAAGGCAGACTGATGGAATTTGTGGACCAGTTTCTGACATCCCAAATAATTGTGATGCTTAGAGTATTTTAAACAGTTCCAGGTCTATAAAAAAGGTGATGATACCTATATGTACACCCTATATTTCTTTATTACAAAAATATTGAAATAATCCATGAGTTATTCCACTCTGCACCAATTATAAAAAAATACTATCAAAGTTTGACTGGCACTTTTAATGCAACAAAAAGCACCATGACCGAGGACACTGGGAACAGAAAATGGGGAACGCTTATTTGCTGTACGGAGGTATTTAAAACCAGAAGCTTGTTGTAAGAGTACAACTTTACAAATGATTCAAATGCAGATCTTAACTGGATTTAGTGATAAGCCCTCAATCAGTTCAGAAGGGTTTTCCCCTAGCATATTCACTGCATTTGTCTGCTCATACTTACTAAAAAGTGTCCCAAAGCCTCTAAAAGACACATCACTTTGACCTTGAATTGGTGGTGGTGGTGGGGGAGTCTGTACACAGTGGAGAACTTGAATGTTCATTCTAGTTTCCGCTTCTGTGGGGCTCATGCCGCTCCATCTCAGTTATCCAGGGCTTCCAGGTGAATCCTGGGATTGGACGGTGTTTGGCACTAGAAAGATGGGGCATGGCGTGTTCTGGAATCATGCCTACCTGAGCTCAGGCAGAGCCACGCCTTCTGAGATCTGACACATCCAGTTCCAACCCGGTCCTCTCTCGCCAATCTGCTCTTACGTTCCAATGTGCACTGCACAGGCCGAGAAATCAGACGCTCATTTTGCCTTTTTTCCCACTTTCTCTTCCGGTATTTATTAAATTTTTGCAATTGAATACTGAATCACGATTGCCATTTACTTTATGTCACTAAGTTAGCGAGCTCCTTGGTCTTACCAAACGCCATACATGTGCTGCATAGGATTTCTGTCATTAAAGATGTTCTCAACTGGAAACTTAAGATTAAAAAACCAATCCTGAAATGTGTTGAAAACGAACCATTCCTTCACTCCTAATACACGTGTAAACACACTTGAGTTTGCTGTCCACTGGACAGGCTTTTCACACATGGTATGTATTGATTTCCAAATGAGCATGGTTTATGAATTCTTTTCTAAGCAGTACTACTTTTTTTCTGGAGTCTTGAGGGATATATTCTCTCCCGGTTTTAATATTCCTGTGAGAATCAGAGCTTTTCATCAAGAAAAATCACCTAAGCTATTTTGACAGAGGACTGGTGTTGTGTGTGTGTTAGTGTATGTGTGTGCATGTATGTGTGTTATGACAATATATTTTTATGCAGAGATCAGTTAATTTCATCAAAACACCCTATGGATCAGAGGCAACATTTTCCATATTCATAGGACCCTCCAGTGGATGCGCTGAAAGACAGTGTAGGAGAAGTTGGTAGCAACCAGGAGTCCTCCCAGTGGCAGGAGACTGTCGGGGCTGCTGTTTGAAAGAAGACCAGCAGCAGGCAGTCAGCTGATGGAGGGTCAGACAGTAACCATGACGACGGTCAGACTACAAGCATGACAGCTCATTTCCCTACTCGAGGATGGAGTTTCATTATTGCCACAGGCCTGCCACCACCCTTTATCTGGCAGTTGTGGCTCCTCCCAGTCTTTTTGTTTTTATAAAGTGGTTTCATACTCCAACCGCTCCTGAATAAGGGCGTCATCTTTGTACTGCAGCCTTGGAGGAGACGGGGAACATTCAAAGGCTAAAATGGCCTTTCGGAGGCTTCGGTCCAAAACATGTCTCTCCCACGCTGGGTACCTATTCCTGAACAGGTCAATTTTAATGACAGATTCTTCAATCCGTGGTGGGCGCGATGATGGGGTGGATGGGGCCGTGGGTCTCACCTGAAAGACAGGTACGCACCCATCCCGCTCTGCAAATTTCTGGTCGCGGTCACTGACCACACTGCGGTTGTTGGAGATGGACCGCAGAGTGCTCGTGGCCACTTCTGGAGGCAGGGTGAAGGCAGCGACGGGGTCCTCACAAGCACAACTTGGTGACTGCCCGAATCTGGGTCCGTTGGGGTGAAAGAAGGCATAATACATCAGCATAAAAACCACGCCCGTTAGAAAGCTGCTGAACACCACACACAGCGCCGGGATGGCAAATGCATCTGCAATCTGGGGAGCCTTGTAGAGGTACCAGAGGGCACTCAAGGCTGTATTTTCCAAAAGGATCACAAAATAGTAAATGAAGAGCCTGCAGCGTGTCCTGCCTTCCTTGACGTTGAACCAGCTGAAGATGTAGATGATCCCCACCACCATGTCGAACACGATCTCTTCCCATTTGGTGATACAGAATTCTGTCTCACAGTGGACGATCCAGAAGGTCATGATGCACCAGTGAAGGACGATGAAGATCCCAAAGTACAGCTGGAAAACCGAGGCAAAGAGGGCAAAGGTGATGACCCTGGCAGCGATGGTGAAGAAGTGCCAGCAGAACTGGATGACAACAGCCATGTAGCTGATGGGCTTCTTGTCATCTCGGGAGTCCCGGAGGGCCTTCTGGTATGAGGCCAAGGCCCAAGCCAAAGACACCAGGGAGGCTGCCGCTGTGAAACCTACAAAGGCAAACAGGAAGACATTCTGTCAAGAGTGAGATGCAGTGTTGTCTCCTGGAAATAGTCATGCAGGCTGGGGGCTTGAGACAGGCTAGCTTTGACCTCAGCAAAGATTGTAATTTCTCTGAGTTTTAGCTGGGCCAAACACTCAGAGGGGGCTCCTAGTGTCTGTCCTCGAGGGGACCCAACCACATGGAGAAGTCGTGAACTAATCATGGAATGTAGGATCTGGAAATGGGGTGGGGTTTAACTTCCATGTGTTTGGTGTACATAGACGCAGGAGGTAGTTTTGTGTAGTGGGAACAGAGCCGTGGGTTGGAGGTTAACAACATTGGGTTGCTGTTTCAACTTTGCCACTTATTACCTGGCATGACTTTGGACAATTGTTTAAAGTGGTGTCCTCATTTATAAAGGAGATGATCTCCAAGGCGCCCTGGCAGCTTTGAGACTCTGTGATCTAAAAGCATGAACAGTCCCAGGAAACTCGAGGGGCTAGCTGGTTTCCCATTCTGCTTCTCAACAAGAAAGTTGACTTAAGAATAAGAAAAGGAGCCCTAACCAGTTTGGCTCGGTGGATAGAGCATTGGCCTGCGGACTGAAGGGTCCCAGGTTCAATTCCGGTCAAGGGCATATGCCTAGGTTGAGGGCTCGATCCCCAGTCGGGTGTGTGCAGGAGGCAGCCAATCAATGGTTCTCATCATTGATGTTTCTATGTACCTGTATGTAATGTACCTGTCTAAGATTATACAGAAATCACTCCTCAATCACTGGCCTCTTTTAGGAGCAAGATGGTTTGGGAATTCTACTTTGTCACTAAAATGTTATATCAATTTGCATTGCAGCTAGTGTACTTATTGAGTTGTACCAAGACCCTCTTCCTTCCTTTCTGAAGTCAATAAAAATATATTTTAAAAAAAATAAGAAAAGGAGTCCATAGAACCTCGTTGGCAGTGTTTCTTGTGATACCTGCTGTGCAGTTTGTCCTTCATATAATCTGACACTTGCTACTACAGCTTTTGTATATTCCTTACTGTCTTTCCCTTAGAAGAAGAAATGTCTGCTCACTCTCATCTCTGAATCTTTCATAAATTAAAGATTATACAGAAATCACTCCTCAACCACTTCTCTTATTGTTTGATGAGCCCCATTTGGTTAGTATTCCTTCTCAAAGTATGTTTCCAAAATTTAAAAACCATTTGTGTTGCTTCCTTTCACTGTTGCTCCATTTACCTTGTCTGAAACATCACCTCGATGGTCCAGATGTCCACAGGGCTCACTGAAAACACACTGGCCTCTTCTAGGAGCGAGATGGTTTGGGAATTCTACTTTGTCACTGAAATGTTATATCAATTTGCATTGTAGCTAGTGTACTTATTGAGTTGTACCAAGACTACAAATGGTTTTGTGTTCTAAATTCCTGCTGGCTTTGCTTCACCAGACTCTCTTACTAATCATAACCAGGCCACCTTATAGCCTTCTCCCGCTATGGAAGTAATAGGAGGGGATTGCCAAGAACTTGTAATGGGACATGTACTTTCCTTTTTTATATTTCAATAGAGAAGAGCTGTTGTCTCTGGTTCTTGAAAATGAATTTAAAAAATGACTCTTCTGAAAAAGAGCCACACTAATTGATAGAAAAAACATTCAACCTCAATAGTTATTTCTTACTTATTCTCCTTGAGTAAGATGAACTCCAAAGAATAATTATCAATAAAGAAAGTGTTTTCCAACATCCACATCTCATATCTATTCCCAATAAAGTCTGTATAATGCCTCATCCTACACTGGACCTTCAGTTGTTCTCTGGCCAGCACAAAAATCTTTTATTACTGTGACTCTCAGGCAGTTATGGCAATATTTTTAGGTCAGTTGGAGACCAGTACACAAAGGAGTTTATGTTAATGTAATTTCTACACGGTGGAAACATATTCACCAATGATACATCAATTACAAAGCAAATTCATAAGTGAAAAGAGAGGAAAGGAGAAAATGTTTACAAAAGAAGAAAGCAGGTTAGGGGATGGGAAATAAAAGGTGATGGAATAATGACTGTGAATTATATACTTATTATAGTTTAGGATATAAGAACAGAAGTTGTGCAATTTTAATTTCAACACTGTGTGTTGCATAGAAGCCACTCATGACCTCGCTTTTTGCCAGTACCATTAGCAACGGTACTAACTGCTTCTTGAGTAGACTGTTCTCTTTATGCTTTTAAGCTGTGAATGGATTGCAGCTTCTCCACAGGCACAGCTTCCTTTTGTTACCAGCCCACATCCTGTAGGACAGTGTTTAAACACAGCGCCACCTTCAGGAAGATCCAGCATGGTCCGTCAGGCTTGAGCAAAACAGTGGAGTGGACTAGATCAGGATTGTCAGATCAGGGTACCAGTTTGCACAGGAAAATGCTATTAAAGGCTGTTTGTCAAAGCAGTGAAAAAGAGTAAAACAGCATCATAAAATTATCCGTTGTCAGATTTAAAAGAATTCGAAAATTAGCTTAGTTCAAATTCTTTTGTAATTTTTATACCTTTTATTAATTCCACCTGCTTTGACACTCAAGGAACTTGTTAAGACACTATTCTGGCAGTAGAAAATGAAGATTTTCTTATCAGTCTTTCTTTCTGTGTATCTTACAATTTAAGACATACTCACCAATGATATATGTGATAAGGGGTTAATTTCCAAAATATATAAAAAAATCATACAACTCAACAGGAGGAAGACAAACAATCCAATTAAAAAATGGGCAAGGGACCTGAATAGACACTTCTCCAATGAGGACATACAATGCCAAGAGACATATGAAAAAATGCTCAATGTCACTAGTGATCAGAGAGATGCAAATTAAGACCACAAGGAGGTATCACATCACACCTGCTAGAATAGCTACTATCAATAAATCAACAAATAACAAGTGCTGGTGAGGATGTGGAAAAAGGGAACCCTAGTACACTGCTGATGGGAATGCAGACTGGTGTAGCCACTGTGAAAAACAGTATGGAGTTTCCTAAAAAAATTAAAAATGGAACTGCCGTTTGACCTAGTGATCCCACTTGGGACTATATCTTAAGAATCCCAAACCACCAATCAGAAAAAAATATATGCACTTCTATGTTCATAGCAGCACAATGTACAATAGCTAAGATCTGGAAACAGCCAAGTGCCCTCAGAAGATGAGTGGATAAAAAAGCTGTGGTACATTTATATAATGGAATACTATGCAGCAGTAAAAAAGAAAGGATCTCTTACCCTTTGAGACAGCATGGATGGGCCTGGAGATTATTATGCTAAGTGAAATGAGCTAGTCAGAGAAAGACAATTACCACATGATCTCAGTTATATGTGGAATCTAATGAACAAAATAGGACCATAGACATAGAAGAACAGAACAGACAGATAGATCTCAGAGGGAAGGGGGATGGGAAGAAATTAACCAAAGAATTTATATGCATATGTGCATAGCCCATGGACACAGACAAGAGTGAGGTGAAGGTCTAAGGTGGGGCGGGAGCCAGGTGGAGGGGGACCCAAGGGGGGAAAGTGGGGGACATCTGTAATACCCTCAATAATAAAAATAATTTTTAAATAAGTGTGTCGTGACCAATTACTTTATAAATTCTCTGACTTAGCAACAATTAGAATTTCCCTTGTTCATTTGATTATGATTTTCTTTTTCATCTGTTTAGCAATTAGTTTTTAGAAGGCAAATGTATTCCTGAACAGAAAATATAGGGCCATTTTAGAGTTACTCCTCATTACAAATTTATACCTGTCATGAAATGCTTAGTTCTCAGTTTTTACAAAACACTGTGATATAAAATCTGTACACCTGTCATGTGGTTTGTTGTCTGGGTGTAAAGAAGAATTCCTGGAAATCCCCAGAGAACACTTTAGAGGATTCAGGATTTACAGCCTACTTTTCTAAATGTATGGAGTTCGGGGAATTGAATCAAGTACTCTAATTCTATGATTTTTCAACAGACAGAATGAGTCCGTCTCTTTCCTTCTCCTGTTGAAGGGAATAACCACAACCCTTGCCCCACAACAGGCCAGCCCACAGTCTCAGGGAACCACCTGGCCACTGGCCCATCTTCACAACCAAACTGCAGCTGGTGAGAAGGAGCTCTTCCTTTTAGCTTAAAAAGTTATTAAACTTTTTAATAGAAGTTTTATAAAACTTCTGACATATACAAAAGCAGAGAGAATAATACAATAGCTATACCCTTCTTGCCAATCAACTAAAGTCTTTTACCGAGTTCTAAACTCCATCTTAAGGGAAGCATAGCTTTTGGCCAGCAGGGGGACCCCTTTCGAAGGAGCCCTGGATCCACTCCTTCCTGAATCTTCCCGCATATACCCTTCCCTGAATGCTCTTTTCTCCCAACTGACAGACAGAACTGTGTGAAAGCTGACTGGCTAAAAGCTGGTGTCTTATCGCACATCTTCGGCAGCCTGACCTGGTAACTCTCTGGGCCACCTGAACACCCCGGCTCATCTTGTGCCTCTCTGTGCTCCAGCCACATTGCCATCTCTCCATTCCTCCCGTGCCGAATAAGACCACATTGTCTTCCCAGAGCCAGGAAATGCTGTGCTCTCCCTTGAAAAGTCACCTTTCAGTTTTTGGTTTAAGCATCATTCCTTTCCTTAGGGGAGCCTGTCCCAGCCCCTAATCTAAATCCAATCACTTCGTTGTAAATGCCACAACACTGCTTGCTTGTTCCAGATGGCATACCTCAGCACAACCACTGTGGTCATCTACCTGTGCGGGTGCTGATGGGCAGGTCTCCCCATTTTTAGCTGACCACTGTGTCCCCAGCATCTGTCACTCTGCTTGTGCATCAACTTCTGAAATGAGTACATTTGTCATCCAGTTGCTGGATGTCATATTGTTTCCCTATCTGATCACCATTTTGATTGCAAACATGTTGACGTCCCTTCCTTTCTCCCCATTTCTCTATCCTGTCTGTCAATTTCAATATTTTTGGGAGAAATTTAAA